CTTGCTTTATGTTCGCATATATGGTGTTTTGTAAATGTTTAAGTATACTTGAGAAGAGTGTGTTCTATAGTAGTTGAGCATAGTATTTCACAAATATCATTTCGATCAAATTGGTTGATAGTTTTTATTATATGGCAGACTTTTTAAAAAAATGCATTCTAATTTAATCAGCATCATGACTCTTATGAGGTGGTGTTAGCACCCATCTTATGGATGAGATGCCTGGCTTGTCCTTGGCAGAGGAGGTGACCTGGGTGTGTCTATAAAAGGACCATAGATATTAAAGTTGGCCCTACCCTTTACTCTCATACAGATAGCATGACAGGAGAGAAATGGCTCCCTGTTTCCTAGGAAGGACTTATTGCTGTCTGGAATTTAACTCCCTTGACTTTGTTTCTGCAGCCTTTCAATGTCTTAAAATATGATATTTGTTTTTGTTTCTATTTTTTTCTGTTTGTTGTGGCAGGAGCCTGCTCCTACTATTTACAACCTAACCTAACACTACAGTATAAATTTTCTCTGTAGCCTTCTATGGTGAAAATATATAAAGGTGAATTAGGAAAAAAAAATCTACCCACTGGCAGAAATAGATGAAAAAAGGCTTGTATGTAGTAACTTGGGCTTTGGATGGGAGAAAAAATACCAATGTGTCTGCCTTCTAGGTGTTTACTTCAGGTTCAATTTCCTGGTTATCAGTTCTGTCTTATCTGTCTTATCAGCTGAAAAAATAATGTTAAGAATTGGTCTAAGCTTTTGATACTTCTGCCTGGTACATGCAAATGCCAAAACACTTGGAAGAAATTCTCCAAGAAAAAGAACTTGCACTAAAGATGAGTTCCTAAATAGAGAGAGAACTCATATGGAGACAATCTACTGTGAGTGACAAAAGTCAGGAATATAGAACAGTAAGAAATTGAGATAATTGAACCACACTCTGAAAAACATAAACATGTTTGCAGTGGTCAAAGACACAATAGAAGGGATTAAAATCCTGGAAAATAATGCACTGTTAGGGAAGGACCAGGCCAGTTTTATAGACCCAAATAGAACTTTTAGAAAAGGAAAAGAAGTGATTGAATAGCTAGCTAGAGATCACTGACAAGAAACCTGGTCGCTAAATCTAGGGTAGATCCTCAGAAAGCAGTAAAAATTGATAGAGATGGGGATGAAAGAAGATAAGAGCAAGGTGGAAGAAAGACAGCTAACATATAACCAAGGATGCCGGAAAGAAAGAAAAGAGAAAATGCAAAACAGATAAAGTTTGAAAAGGTAGTGTTTGAAAAAGTTTCCAAATTGATTAAAATTGTGAATCTTTATATTTAAGAAACATAATGAAATAAACAGAATAAAATTAGACATCTAGACACAAAAGTAAACATGAATGTCAGAGACAAAACACACATACACAATCTTAAATGCAATTGGAGATGTGATAGGAGAAATTTTCACTTATTGAGGTATGGGAAAGTCATTCTGGCCTATTTGTGATTTAACTTAAACTTTATGCTAATCAGAACAGCCTTTTTATGGCCAATCAGGTATACACAGTTAATCTGATTTAACCGTTAAAGAAAAGAATGTGTTAAAAAAATAAAAATGGAGTAACTGTGGTTCAGGAATCCAGAAGGGGGCTGGGTGGCCTTTGTGGATGTGATTTCAGCCACATTCTGCATCACTGAGAACCTGAATTTTCTGAACTGTATCAGACTCAAGGACACCACCAACCATTCTTAAAATAATATCTGCTAAGCAGCCACTGTCTGTGGTCTCAAAGTCTCTTCTCATACCAATGCAGCCATTTTGCACCCCAGCCAATCCTTGCCTAACAAGCACCTTTTTAATTTTTTTTTTTTACCAGTGACAGTTATAAGTCTTGACCAACCACTTATGTAATTTTGTGGATTTTGCCTTTATAATCCTCCCCTTTTATAGTCCGGGTGACACAATTCAAGTGCTTCTTGAATCTGTGTCTCTTGGGCTATAGTTCTCAGTTTGACTCAAATAAAACTCTTTTCTTTTCCTGTTAATAGTTTGGCTTATTGGTTATTTCCATAAACAGAAGGAAGACATTTATCTAGAAAAGTAATATTTAGACCAAAAACAGCAATAATAGAATCCAGAAATCAATGGAATCATATTTTAAATATTAAAACAAAGTAATTGTCAATTAGAAACTATACAAAATAAACTGTCATCCAAAAATAAGAGTAAAAAAACTGAAGAAATATGATTTATCACTCATAGGGTGTTTAAAAATACTTGAGCATGTCCTACAGGAGGAAGGAAATTGAACCCAGAAGGGAAGAGTGAGATGCAGTAAACAATGGTAAAGAATGTAATGAGCAAATATGAGTGTTAACTGAGATTACCAGGTAAGCACTGACTTCATAAAATAATAATAATGACAAATTTGTAAGGTATAAAATATAAAGTTGGAATAAAATTCTATGTAACAATTAAAATGGGGTGAATTATAAATTCTTTTAAGGTTTTTGTACTTGGGAGAAGGATAAGAGCTATCATGTTTGACTTCAAGCCTCAAAAACAACAACAGCACATTAACCAGTACAATAGAAATAGGATCCAAACTAGCCTATGTGGTGAGGAAAGAATTAAGAAAATATACAACTGGCCAATAATTGCTTGTATTGAATCAAGAAATCCTCTGCATTGTTATCCATCAGGGAAGTGCAAATCCAAGACTCTATGAGATGATTGTGATCAAATAAAAAGTGTTGTGGAGAAATCAGAACCCTCATATAATACTAGTGGGAATGTAAAATGGAGCATCTATCTTGAAAAACAGCCTGGAAGTTCCTCAAAAAATTAAACACAGAGGCACTCTTTGATCTAGCAATTTTACTCCCACGGATATGCCCAAAGGATTGAAAGCATATGTTTATACAAAAACTTGTACCTAAGTATTCCTAGCAACGTTATTCATAATTGCCAAAGGTGGAAACAATCCCCGTGGTTATCAGTTGATGAGTGGATAAACAAAATGAAGTACATCCTTACAAAGGGATAATATTTGGCCATAAGAAGGAATGAAAGACTGATACATGCTCCAGTATGGATGGGCCTTAAAAAAAAGTATGTATGCTAACTGAAAGAAACCAATCACAAAAGCCATACAGCAATACACTGAGATTTGAAGGGGGGCTAATTTATCATTCCCCTCTCTCTCTCATAGCCCCCAAAGGATAATCTTACTTAGAATTTGAGAACACTCCGTGGAAAATAAAAGAACTCAGAAACTGCTGAACCTCTGAGTCTCAATTTCCTTTCCCAAACTCATTAAGTAGGTAAGTCATTCTTTGTCCCTGGGGAGGAGTGAGTGATGGAGACTGGAGAAAGATGCCAGGTATGGTTCTCCTATACTTTTTCTTCCTTTTTCTTCTTGGCAACCTTTGTCAACATTGCATGGTACATTCATTCATTCATTCATTCACCAGATGATTATTAAGCACCCACCGTAGGGAAAATGCATAGTGAAAAATGTAAAGATTGGCTGCTGCTTTAGGGAGCTAGCATTTTGTTTGGTGGGGATGACAACACTAAATATTTTAACAGTTAAACAGCAGTCAGCCCCTTTCAGTACTTGATGTCCCAAAGCTCAGTCCTGTAGTTCTTCTCGACTTCAATTTCCACTCACTCACTTGTTGACCTCGTATCTCAGGACTGAAATAATGCCAAGGACTCCAGCCTCAACCTTTCTCTTGAACTCTGGTCTGGTCTGTCGAATTTTAAAACATGATTATTTAAAAGCCACCTTAAATTTATCTCTAAAATCAATCTCTGATCTCCCTCCCTCCACCTCTCCCCAACCAAATCTACTCATGTCTCAGTTTTCCCAGGAGCTGGTATCTCCATTGCTCAAAAAACTTGAGGTTTTGTCTTTTCATGAAACACATCTAATCCACCTGAAAATCCTGCTAGTTTTACCTTCAAAATATGTCTAGAATTTTATGCTATTTCATTATCTCCACCACTGTCATCCTGCTCAAGGTCATCATCATTTCTTGCCTGGATGATTATAATAATCTGACTCCTGATTCTGCCTTGACCCCTAAGGTCTGTTTCCACCACAGCAGCTAGAGTGAATCCTAAAGTTTAAGTCAGGATGTGTCATATCACGTAAGCCCTCTAGTGATTCTTCTCTGGGCTTAAAGGGACATCCAGAGTGCTTACAGTGGCGTCCAGTGACCTCTGTGATCGGGCCCCTGCTCCTTCTGACTTCCTCTCCACCTGTTCTTGCTCTGTCCATTCCCTCCCTTCACACTGGATTCCACATTGCTCCTCAACCTGCTGAGCACGCTCCTGCCTTATGGCTATTGCACTTTGTTCCATTTGGGCCGGCAGCTCTCCTTCAGATACCAGCATGGTTTCCTCTCTTGCTTCTTATGGGTTTCCATTCAAAACTGAGAGAGACTACCCTTAATGTTCCCCACATCCCACATTAAAGTCTGATGTGATTTCATTACTTATGTGTTTATTGAGAACAAATGCTTCAGGAGGGCAGCAACTGTTTTATTCCTCATGTTTCTAACTAGTGCCTTATGTCAGCGTCTGGCATATAAGTGTTCAGTGTATATTGTTGAATGAAAGAATCATTTCATATCTGTAGGACATCAAAAAAGAAATGTTGTAAGGCGGTGCATACCTCATTGCCAAATAAATAATAGATATATTTTGGTGATATTAATAATATGTAAAGTAATGATTCATATATATAAATATTAATTATGATTAATATATTAATTATATATTAATACTATGTATTAATATATGTATATTCTTTTTTATTTTTCCCATTGTAAGTTATTATAAGATATTGAATATAGTTCCCTGTGCTATACAGTAGGACTTTGTTGTTTATTTTATATAAGGTAATGTGTATCTGTTACTCTCAAGCTTCTAATTTATCCCTCCTCCTCTTTCCCCTTTGGTAACCTTGAGTTTATTCTCTATGTTGTGAGTGTTTATGCTTTCCACTCAATATGCCAGCAAATTTGGAAAACTCAGCAGCGGCCACAGGACTGCAAAAGGTCAGTTTTCATTCCAATCCCAGAGAAAGGCAATGTCAAAGAATGCTCAAACTACCACACAATTGCACTCATTTCACATGCTAGTAAAGTAATGCTCAAAATTCTCCAAGTCAGGCTTCAACAGTATATGAACCATAAACTTCAAGCTGGATTCTAAATTCAAGCTGGATTTAGAAAAGGCAGAGGAACCAGAGATCAAATTGCCAACATCCACTGGATCATCGAAAAAGCAAGAGAGTTCCAGAAAAACATCTATTTCTGCTTTATTGACTATGCCAAAGCCTTCGACTGTGTGGATCACAACAAACTATGGAGAATTCTGAAAGAGATGGGAATACCAGACCACCTGACCTGCCTCTTGAGAAACCTGTATGCAGGTCAGGAAGCAGCAGTTAGAACTGGACATGGAACAACAGACTGGTTCCAAATAGGGAAAGGAGTATCTCAAGGCTGTGTATTGTCACCCTGCTTATTTAACTTATATGCAGGGTACATCATGAGAAATGCTGGCCTGGATGAAGCACAAGCTGGAATCAAGATTGCCGGGAGAAATGTCAATAACCTCAGATATGCAGATGATACCACCCTTACGGCAGAAAGTGAAGAAGAACTAAAGAACCTCTTGATGAAAGTGAAAGAGGAGAGTGAAAAAGTTGGCTTAAAGCTCAACATTCAGAAAACTAAGATCATGGCAGCCATTCCCATCACTTCATGGCAAACAGATGGGGAAACAGTGGAAACAGCGGCTGACTTTATTTTGGGGGGCTCCAAAATCACAGCAGCCATGAAATTAAAAGACTCTTACTCCTTGGAAGAAAGCTATGGCCAACCTAGATAGCATATTAAAAAGCAGAGACATTACTTTGCCAAAAAAGGTCCATCTAGTCAAAGCTATGATTTTTCCAGTAGTTAAATATGGATGTGAGAGTTGGACTGTAAAGAAAGCTGAGCACCAAAGAATGATCACTTTTGAACTGTGATGTTGGAGAAGACTCGGGAGTCCCTTGGACTGCAAGGAGATCCAGTCAGTCCATCCTAAGGGAAAACAGTCCTGAATATTCATTGGAAGGATTGATGGTGAAGCTGAAACTCCAATACTTTGGCCACCTGATGTGAAGAACTGACTCATTTGAAAAGACCCTGATGCTGGGAAAGAGTGAAGGCAGGAGGAGAAGGGGACAAAAGAGGATGAGATGGTTGGATGGCATCACTGATTCAATGGACGTGAGTTTGAGTAAACTCTGGGAGCTGGTGATGGACAGGGAGGCCTGGCCTGTTGCAGTCCATGGGGTTGCAGAGTCAGACACGACTGAGCGACTGAACTGAACTGAGTGTTTATGCTTTGTAAAGAAGTTCATTTGTATCATTTTTATAGATTCCTCATATAAGTGATATCATATGATGTTCATCTTTCTTTTTCTAACAATTCACTTAATATGATCATCTCTAGGTCCATACATGTTGCTGCTAATTGCCTATTATTTTTATTGTTATTACCATTCTAATAATTATATGCAACAGTCATCTGTTCGTTATTATATATAACAGGCAAGATTGATGTCCTATTACTTTATTTAGGTTAATAACAAAACCTGACATGAGTAATGGATAAAACACGAGGAAATGGGACAATTGAAAGGAAGAGAGTGGGAGTTAAACTTTCCTTCCTATATGACTTACATCATTTAAAAAAGTCATTTCATTACTGTGCTTCCTATTCTAGTTAGTATATTCAATTCATATAGCACAGAAATTTCCTAAGCCAAATCTATGTTTTCCAGTTGGCATACAAAAAGGTAATTTCTTATGAGAAAAAACATTTTGGTCATAACGCGTGGTACACTGGAAATTGATTAGGGTTGATTAATCTGTCCTTCAAAAATCTTTACAGAAATGAGTGAAAATATTTTAACAACTTCTGCTTCTTGGAATTACTTGCCAATATTATCTTATTTTACCTGGTACCTCCTCTTTCTATACGATGAATTATATTTTCATGACCAGAGTTAATATCTGTTTGAATCTGCTGTTAACAACGTGCTTAATTATGGAGGGATTTTGGCATAAAAGCGCTGCTGATTTGGTCCTAGTTCCTACTTAAGTGTTTTCTTAAATTTCTTTACATTGTTACACAATGTAAAGCAAGGAACATTTCCTGAGATAGAGAACCTAAGCAACAAAAACAAATATGTCCATTCAACACGTTTATTCAAAGCTATGAGCCAAAAGTATTGTGAGGAAGTGGACATTCAAAGAATGAATAAGACCCTCCCGCAAGGAGCTGTGTTACAAAACTGACTCAGTGACTGGAGTGTACATTACTGATTTCAAATTTGACCTTTTTTCATGGTCATGGATGTTATTTGTCGCAATAGTTCTGGAAGCGCAGGTTTTCTGCATCCTTATGTAGTGACTTAAAGCAGCTGACTTGCCCAAGGACTGAAGCATACCCTAGAACATCTCTGAGATCACCATCTGTTTGTTTTTTTTTTTTTTTAATATATTTGCAATAATATATTTTGTTTTTTGCTAGTGAAGCAGTAGTCTGTTTTAGTTTTACCCTATGAGGTGGAAGGGTCTTCAGGATGATGCAGTGTAGGGTAGGGTATTTGGCAGTGTCAAGACTGCTTGGGAACAGGCTTTAGGTGACCATCTAGGGAACCATAAACATCTAGGTCTCAGCTTGTGAAAATCGCTGTCATGTCCAACTCTTGGCGACCCTATGGGCTGTAGTCCAGCAGGCTCTGTCATGGGGTTCTCTAGGCAAGAACACTGCAGTGGATGGCCATTCCCTTCTTCAGGGAATCTTCGAGAACCTGGGCCTCTTGCACTGCAGGCAGATTCTTTACCTTCCGAGGCCCGAGGGAAAACCCCTGGGTCTCAGTTTGCCCATGTTAAAACAAGACGGCTGGATTGCGTCAGTAAGTCTCACAGTGAATGTGCATACCAGTCACCTGGGGATTTTGCTAAAATGCAGACTCATATTCAGTAGGTTGGGGCGGGGCCTGAGACTGCATTTCCAGCAGGCTCTCAGGTAATGAACGCCCCTGCTGCTGAACCATGGCCCACACTCTGAGTGGTCAGGGTGAGAGGAGCAATATCCAATTCAAAGATAAGGGGAGCTATGTATGCAACTTTAAATGTCTGGAAGCACATTCGAAAGGTAAAAAATAGGTGAGATTAATTTTAATGACATTTAATCTTACATAATCAAAACTATCTTTACATGTCATCAGTATGAACATCATGAACGGAATATATTATTCTTTTTTCAACATTAAGTCTTTGAGATCTGGTGTGTGTTTTACTTACGGCACACCTCAGTGTGGACTCGCTACGCGTAGGTGCTCAGCAGCCTTGGGTGTGCTGCCGTCTGTTGGGGCTGGAACATCTCTGCTGGCAGTTTCAGCGCTGGTAACATTCTTGGCTTCCTTACATGTCTTGATTCTTGTCTCCAGGTGGCGCTAATGTTCTTCGATTCGTCCTTGAATTTTTTTGTTGATGCAGGAGAGCTTTACAAAAGGTCACTTAACATATTTATTTATTTACTCATCTAGTTCCTTCTCTTAATTCATTCATCCCATAATATATGTTTACAGGCTATACTAATGGTTAGTATATTATATTCTCTGAAACTTTATCCACTAACTAAAATGCAATAAAATTACTATTAAGTATGCCAAAGTGAATTACAGAAGGAATGGTTAAAGTCATTCTTGGTGGGGCATAGCTATATAAGACTGATCACTGATTATATATTTTTAGACACAAGATGGTGCCGAGCTATTTAACAGAACTAATGTAGAAGCAGGAAAAATTGCTGACTAGTTTATAAAATTTAAATAATAACTTTGTGACATGGTTGTTTTATGAAAGGGAGGAAGGTATTTCTCTTCCTTCTGTCTTATCTAATACAGGATGACTGATACTCCGTCGGGTGATTTAGGTGTTGAATTTTCTGGAAGGGAAATGATGCTAATAAAAACCTTTATTTCAGCTGTATAATTTTGTGTATGTGCCGGGCATACTACAGAGCTCACATTTTCTAAAAGAAGAATTTTAGTACTCAGACTTAGTTTTAAGGAGGTATGCCCAGGACTTCCCTGGTGATCCAGTGGCTGAGACGCCACGCTCCCAATGCAGGGTTCAATCCCTGGTCAGGGAACTAGATCCCACACGCCACAACTGAGGTAGCATGCGGCAGCTAAGACCAAAGTGCTCAGTCATGTCCCACTCTTTGTGACCCCATGGACTGTAGCCTGCCAGGCTCCTCTGTCCGTGGAATTTTCCAAGCAAGAATACTGGAGTGGGTTACTATTTCCTGCTCCAGGGGACCTTCCCGATCCAGGGACCCAACCCATGTCTCCTATGTCTCCTGCATTGGCACCAGGGCAGCCCTAAGACCAGCACGGCAAAATAAAATATCCATGTTTTCTAAAAGCCTGATACTATTTCTTTTGTCTGCTTATGACTCCAATGTTAACTAAAATGTCAGGTATCATGAACAGGTAGTTTAAATGTGTTAACCCATCCTCACAGTAAACCAGTAGGTAGGTACATTTCAAGTGAGGAAATGGATGCTCTAGAGATTAAATCGTTTTTCCTGGGCACATGACTATTAAGAAGAGACATGCTGCAGAGGGTGTGGAGAAAAGGGAACGCTCTTACACTGTTGGTGGGAATGCAAACTAGTACAGCCGCTATGGAGAACAGTGTGGAGACTCCTTAAAAAACTGGAAAAAGAACTGCCATATGACCCAGCAATACCACTTCTGGGCATACACACCGAGGAAACCAGATTTGAAAGAGACACATGCACCCCAATGTTCATCGCAGCACTGTTTATAATAGCCAGGACATGGAAGCAACCTAGATGCCCATCAGCAGACAAATGGATGAGGAAGCTGCGGTACATATACACCATGGAATATTACTCAGCCATTAAAAAAATTCATTTGAATCAGTTCTAATGAGATGGATGAAACTGGAGCCCATTATACAGAGTGAAGTAAGCCAGAAAGATAAAGACCAATACAGTATACTAACGCATATATATGGAATTTAGAAAGATGGTAATGATAACCCTATGTGCAAAACAGAAAAAGAGACACAGATGTACAGAACAGACTTTTAGACTCTGTTAGAGAAGGCGAGGGTGGGATATTCAGAGAGAACAGCATCGAAACAAGTATACTATCAAGGGTGAACCAGATCACCAGTCCAGGTTGGATGCATAAGACAAGTGCTCAGGGCTGGTGCACTGGGAAGACCCAGAGGGATTGGGTGGAGAGGGAGGTTGGAGGGGGGATCGGGATGGGGGATCGGGATGGGGAATATATGTAAATCCATGGCTGATTCATGTCAATGTACAGCAAAAACCACTACAATATGGTAAAGTAATTAGCCTCCAACTAATAAAAATAAATGAAAAAAAAAGAAAAAAAAGAAGAGAGAGTGTGAACTCACATCCAGACTGTTGAACCCTCAAGTTCATTCCCTTAACTACCATACTGTATGGTGGAGACTCTCTTCCTCTGTCTTAAGCTGAATTTGCTGATCACTCTACAAAACAGTCAACAAAAACTATAGTCTACAATGTCCAAATGTATAATATCCATAATGGGCAGGAGATTGTCTTTTATAATGATAAGCCATACAAGTTTAAAACAAGGTCAGAGGGCTAAAGGCTCAGCTATCTTTGGCCTTAGTTCTCATTTGACTAGTAACTGCATATGTACTGAGTAACCTGAAAACTGTTTTCTGTGAGACAGAGCAAATGGGGATCTCTTTCACGGTTGAATAGGTTGAATTCATGACATGATTCCGTGATAACTGACATCACAAATACAAATTTCTCCCACTTAACCATTGTAAACATATACTCATCATATTGTTTCATACACGGACTTCTCAACAGTTTTTATCTGCTTTCTTTTTTCTTTTACTATTTATTTTTTACTATAGAAGTAAGAAAATTAAGTGGAGCATACCTGCTTTACAATGCTGTGTGAGTTTCCGCTGTACACGACATGAATCAGCTACGCGTGTGCATGTATTGCCTCCCTCTCACCCCTTCCCGCCCCGCTGTGTCCTCACAGAGAACAGAGCTGAGCTCCCCCGTGTTGGACGGAGGCGTCCCTCTAGCTGTCTGCTTTACTCATGGTAGTGTGTTTATGACGTTGCTACTATCTTAATTACTCCCACTCTCTTCTTTCCACACTGTGTCCACAGCCACTTCTCTATGTCTGCGTCACTATTCCTGCCCTGCAGGTAGGTTCATCAGTAACCTTTTTCTAGATTTCATTTGTATACATTAATATATGATACTTGTTTTTATGTGCTTTCTTTTTGACGCATAGAATATTGACACAAAATTGTGTGTGTATGTGACAGAGAAAGAGAGAGATACAGAATTGAGTTCAAATCCTTGCTTTGCCACCCTCTGGCTCTGTTATCTTGGGCAGCTTGGAAAACTGTCTTGGGATGTCAGTTTCCCCAGCTGAAAATCGGGGTTGATGTATTTTTTCTGAGGATTAAATGAGATGGTATATGCAAAGTCTCTAGCATATATAGTGTATACTTCAGTTAACACTCAGCAATATTCATTTTGTAGAATGATGAGATAGAGATATCGGTAAGGTACATCCATACCTGTTTACTTTTTAGAGGAACTTGATATCTGCCAACAAATGGAATCAGAAAACTGAGGCTACACCCCAGGCAAAGAAAATCTACTCCCCTCAATTTCCCAAATTCTCAATTTTTTGATGGAATGTAGCCAATTTTATCTAATTTATGCAGCAAACTGCTTTCCTTCGTTACTTTGCCTTGGCAGTGAAAACCAGTCTCTTAAGTTATCTTGTTGAAGAGCTTATGAAGACATTACGGTATTTGGCTCCCTATCTTATCCAAGTTCCCTGGATGAAAAATTTCTTTCCTTCCCATCTTGAGACAAAGGATTTATAACTACTTTAGCATATTATTGAAGCAAAGAGACACTTAACGGAAACGTGACTCTGGGCTGACTTTTTATAGGTCCCATTTGGATGCATTGGATGCATTGCTTTAAGTTCACAGGTGGAAAAAATACATTGTTTTAAAAATGTCAACATTTCCTCATATATGAGGAATTATTTTCTTTCTGTTTTTTCTTTTCTTTATTCTCTTCTTCTTCCTGCTCCTCCTTTGTGTGTGTGACTGCATAAAGAACATACCTATCTTGAAACATTTCACTGGATTCTTGAAAGCCAGCTCAAATAATTTTTCCTCCTTATATATGCTGTTTTGTTGCTGGTCAGGAACACAGCCACCTAAGCCAAGTGGTCACAGTTCACTTCACACACATGGAGAAGAAAGATCTGTTTTAATTCTCTGAAGATTCAGAGATAGTCTCCTCCTGACACTAGAAGGGGATCTTGGAAAAAACGATTCATGGATAGAACATGATCTCAGAATATTCTCCAAGGACTCAGAAGATGCCCAAATAAATATGGAGTATAAAAATTTCCCTATGTCATGTGTATGGGAAAGGAGTGGAAGGTTGCAGAAAGAAGGAAAACTTTATCAAGGATAAAGGCAGACAATAGCCAGACATGAATGATATCTTAAAATGGATAAGGGAGATTCGAGCATGTTGATTAGATTATATACAAGGTTGAATTGAGAGAGGATTTTCCCACAAAGGAAGCTGGGATCTGCTGTCTTTTCTGTGGAGGAGCTGTGAAGTAGATAGTGATGTGTGGAGATCTGGTGGTGGGAGACAATCCAGGCACGGTTTCCCTTAGCTCCCACCCCGCCCCCAGCCTGACGTTATTGCAGGGCTGAGAGTGAGGTGCAGAGATGCAGTGGAAGTGGTAAGGCTTAGTAACCACAGGAGAAGGAACGTGAATCCCAGTTCCAAGTGAGCCTGGCAAGTGAGTCAGCTGTGCAGGGCCTCAATTTCCTCCTCTGGAAGTGCAAATAATATCTGTCCCAGTAACCTAAACTGGTTGTGAGAATCCCCTTAGAGGATGCAGGGGAAAGTGCTGCACAGATTCAAGTGTTGCAAAGGTAGCCTAGTGATAACAATGACCCACAGAACCGACTAAGCTTGTGTCTGTGGGTTTCTGCAGATATGAGGTTCAGGTTTGCTGATGAAATCTCCTTCCCTTCTCTTGGTCAGATGACAGATGAGAGGACTTGGTTGGCCTCCATCAGATGGAATTCATCATATTACAAGAGAGAAGAGTCAGCCAGGACCTTGCCCTCAGGCTCTCTTGTCCTATAGCTCCAGTCAGAAGTTTCCTTATTCCCTTCTGTGTGCCAGACCCCAAGCTAGACGACTCACCTAGGCTTCCTTACTCTCCCGTTTGCAGGAGAGGAAATGGAGGATCCAATACCGAAGACATTCAGGGTGACGCAGCTGTTAAACGGCAGGGCCAGGATTCTAAGGCGGGAGCTCTTTCCCCTGACCAGGGTAAAGGGTAAGTTTTCCTAGTTTTCCTCATCTTACCCCCTCTTCCTCCTCTTCCTCCGTCTCTCCTCCTTATTATCCTTCTCTCTTCAGCTCCCTCTTTTCTCCTCTTCCCCACTTCTTTTTCTTGAGGTATGAAGCTTTCTTTACTAAATAAACACAAGAAACTCAAAAAGCAATGAAAACACAGGTGAGGAGGAGTTGAAACTCTGCTAAACGTGGCTTTTTCCAGAGCCCTCAGGAAAAGCACTAAAGAAATAAACTCTTTATTCCTGCCTCTGTAAGAGCTTCTTTATTCAAAAATATCATTTCCACTAATGTCACGGGAAATACACGAATATATTTTTATTGTAAATTTTAAAAGTTGAACATTATGGATCAAATTAAAATCTCTTTTGACTCCTTTTATTCTATTTGCTACCCCATATATAAGTATTATTACCATTTAGTATGAAAGAACCCAGGGATCAAACTCAGTTCAGTTCAGTTGCTCAGTAGTGTCCGACTCTTTGCGACCCCATGAATTGCAGCATGCCAGGCCTCCCTGTCCATCACAAACTCCCAGAGTTTACTTAAACTCATGCCCATCGAGTTGGTGATGCCATCCAGCCATCTCATCCTCTGTCGTCCCCTTCTCCTCCTGCCCTCAATCCCTCCCAGCATCAGGGTCTTTTCCAACGAGTCAACTCTTCACATGAGGTGACCAAAGGATTGGCGTTTCAGCTTCAGCATCAGTCCTTCCAATGAACACCCAGGACTGATCTCCTTCAGGATGGACTGGTTGGATCTCCTTGCAGTCCAAGAGACTCTCAAAAGTCTTCTCCAACACCATAGTTCAAAAGCATCAATTCTTCCACACTCAGCTTTCTTCACAGTCCAACTCTCACATCCATACATGACCACTGGAAAAACCATAGCCTTGACCAGATGGACCTTTGTTGGCAAAGTAATGTCTCTGCTTTTTAATATGCTGTCTAGGTTGGTCATAACTTTCCTTCCAAGGAGTAAGCGTCTTTTAATTTCATGGCTGCAGTCACCATCTGCAGTGATTTTGGAGCCCAAAAAAAGTCTGACACTCTTTCCACTGTCTCCCCATCTATTTTCCATGAGGTGATGGGACCAGATGCCATGATCTTAGTTTTCTGAATGTTAAGCTTTAAGCCAACTTTTTCACTCTCCTCTTTCACTTTCCTCAAGAGACTTTTTAGTTCCTCTTCACTTTCTGCCATAAGGGTGGTGTCATCTGCATATCTGAGGTTATTGATATTTCTCCCGGCAATCTTGATTCCAGCTTGTGCTTCTTCCAGCCCAGCGTTTCTCATGATGTACTCTGCATAGAAGTTGAATAAGCAGGGTGACAATATACAGCCTTGACGTACTCCTTTCCAGGTCTCCTCAATTGCCAGATTCTTTACCATCTGAGCCACTAGGAAAGCCCCTTCATTTTAGTATATATTTTTCTAAAATGGATAAAATTAATTTTATATAAAATTATTTTAAATTATCTTTATTAATTTTAAATACAAAATTTCATATTTATATATTACATATGATTTTAAATTTTTCTAAAAAATTTACTTATGCATATTTAGCTATAAATGTGTATGTATTTTTGTGTGAGTGGACTCAGTTGTACTTATTATTTTATACCTTGTTTTAAAAGTTTTTATTCAATAACTTATCTTGGAGGTATTCCTGTGTCAGACATATGTTTTTGCCTCTTTCTTTTGTTGTCGTTGTATAGTTGCAAAGTCATGCTTGACTGTTTGTGACCCCATGGACTGTAGACTGCCAGGCTCCTCTGTTCATGGGATTTCCCAGGCAACAATACTGGAGTGGGCAGCCATTTCCTTCTCCGGGGGATCTTCCGGACCCAGGGATAGAACCTGCATCTCTTGTGTCTCCTGCATTGACAAGCGAATTGTTTAACACTAGTGTCACCTGGGAAGCCCAATGTCTGGACATGTGTATTTACCTCTTTCTTTTATTGAAGTGTAATTAATTTATAGTGCTGTGTTAATTTCAGGTGTTGCCTCACTCCTTGACTGTTTCATAGTGTGAAACATTGGTAGTTTAAGTACTTTCCTCTGAAGGACTTTTAGGTGGTTCCCATTCTGTTGGAAACAGTGTTCCAGTGAAGAGTCTTGTATTCATATGTGAGTGTTTCTTTATGGTAGATAGTATAATGTATGAATCTGGATGTCACGAAATTGGTTGATTGGCTTCTATCCTCTGTCTAACCCCTGTTCACAGAAGGTGGTCAGCTAGGGACTTCCCTGGTGGCCCGGTGGCTAAGACTCCACACTCCCAGTGCAGGGGGCCAGGGTTCAATCCCTGGTCAGAGAACTAGAGCCCACATGCCCCAGCTAAGAGTTTGCATGTTGCATCGGAGATCAAAGATGGAAGATCATGAGTGCCACCACCAAGACCCAGGGCAACCAAATAAATAAATATTTTTTTAAAAAAGGACCATGATCACTTGGCATTCTTGCATTTCAGCAGTTTGTCAGTTTTGTATGATCTTTATTTTTGTGCTTTTGTGATGTAACAGACTGACTCAAAAATGTTGTTTGCATCACTCTGATGATAAACAACCCTGCCCTTCATGTGGTTGAGTTCTGTGTTTGTATGTGTGTGTGTGTGTGTGTACTGTGTGTGTACCCTGTACATGGCGTGGTTGGGTGTGTGTGTGTGTACTGTGTGTGCGAACCCTGTACATGACATGGTTGGGTGTGTGTGTGTATACTGTGTGTGTACCCTGTACATGACATGGTTGGTGTGTGTGTGTGTGTGTACCCTGCACATGACATGGTTGGTGTGTGTGTGTGTGTACTGTGTGTGTACCCTGCACATGACATGGTTGGTGTGTGTTTGTGTGTGGGTGTGTATGCACTGTGTGTGTACCCTGTACATGACATGGTTGGTGTGTGTGTGTGTGTGTACTGTGTGTGTACCCTGCACATGACACGGTTGGTGTGTGTGTGTGTGTGTGTGTGTGTGTACCCTGTACATGACATGGTTGGTGTGTGTGTGTGTGTGTGTGTACTGTGTGTGTACCCTGCACATGACATGGTTGGTGTGTGTGTGTGTGTGTGTGTGTGTGTGTGTGTACCCTGTACATGACATGGTTGGGGTGTGTGTGTGTGTGTGTACTGTGTGTGTACCCTGCACATGACATGGTTGGTGTGTGTGTGTGTGTGTGTGTGTATGTACTGTGTGTGTACCCTATACATGACATGGTTGGTGTGTGTGTGTGTGTGTGTGTACCCTGTACATGACATGGTTGGTGTGTGTATGTGTGTATGTACTGTGTGTGTACCCTGCACATGACATGGTTGGTGTGTGTTTGTGTGTGTGTGTGTATGTACTGTGTGTGTACCCTGTACATGACGTGGTTGGGGTATGTGTGTGTGTGTGTATGTACTGTGTGTGTGTGTACCCTGTACATGACATGGTTGGTGTGTGTGTGTGTGTGTGTACTGTGTGTGTACCCTGCACATGACATGGTTGGTGTGTGTTTGTGTGTGTGTGTGTATGTACTGTGTGTGTACCCTGTACATGACATGGTTGGGGTGTGTGTGTGTGTGTGTGTACCCTGCACATGACATGGTTGATGTGTGTATGTGTGTGTGTACTGTGTGTGTACCCTGCACATGACATGGTTGGTGTGTGTGTGTGTGTGTGTGTGTGTACTGTGTGTGTACCCTGTACATGACGTGGTTGTGTGTGTGTGTGTGTGTGTTTGTGTGTGCAGATAAGGAATTAACAGTGTCATCCAATTGCCCTCTCAAATGGCTGTAATTATTAATAACTTATACTCCTGCCAGCACTGTCCAAAAAGACTCTTCCTAAATCTTCACCAACACCTGATGTTTTTAAACAAACATTTTGACAGTTTAATGGGATGGGTGAAAATGCTGTTTTATTGTTGTTTTAATTTGCATTTTCATCCCAATTTCCTTTGTATGACAGAAATGTCCTCCTTAGGGAACTTTTACATCCTCATTAAACAATGGGGAACCCCTTCCCCCAGATCTCTTCCATCCCAGCACCCCTAGATATGGGCAGGAGGAAGTGCCTGGAGCAGTGGTGTGGTCCACATTCCACACACAACCTCCTCTCCCCCAGAGCTCTGGACTCTGTACTGGAAATTCTGGGAGCATCCCAGTCCGTCCTGTACTATTAGGCTATGTTTAGAAGTTCTTCAGAGATACTGTGAAATGACCACATGCTCACTTTCTCTTTGTTGTTCCTTCACTTACTGTAGGTGTTGTGTTTTATGCCAAGATGTCAATTATTTTTAAATGTGGAGACCTGCCTTTGGTGTTTTAACAATACATGTATATTTCTGGTTATGAAAATGCCTCATGTACATTATTTAACACCTGTAACAGTTTTAAAGAAGTATAAAGAAGTAGAAGACTACCTTTCTCTCAGAGGCAACCATGGGTAAGGGGAAAATAAATGTCTTGAAAGAAAAGTTTTCAGATCCATACATCTATTTGCAGATTTTACTAGTGTCTGCTATACTCACTTTTTTTTAACCCTTCAGAGAGATCATTTTCTTTTTATTTCCTCTTGTTTTGTTTATGAGTATATTCCTGCATTGTTAATTTGAATATATCTTTATACTTACTGTTTAAACCTGGCATGAGGTAGTCACTCCTCTAATATGTCTACTAAAAGCTTGCGAATCTATGAGGCTGTCTTGGTTCAGCCCCTGAGGGCTATGTCTCCACAGGGTATAAAGCTCTCTTAAACCACCCTAAGTCATAAGGTAACTTCACAACCCCTAATTTACACAAGGACCAAGAACTCCAGGGGTTTCCCAAATGGGACGAGTGCTAAAGAACCTGCCTGCCAGTGCAGGAGACATAAGAGACGTGGGTCCGATCCCTGGGTCAGGAAGATCTCCTGGAGGAGGGCATGGCAACCCACTCCAGTATCCTTGCTGGAGAATCTGATGGACAGAGGAGCCTGGTGGGCTACAGCCCACGGAGCTGCAATGAGTCAGACGCGACTGAGCGACTTAGCATGCACACACGTGAGAACCCAAACTACAAGAACACAAACCCTTTCCACCGCTGGCGTCGGGAAACAGACCTCGGAGAAGCCTGAGACGCTGGGAGGAAGTCTTGCATGCTGACTTCTGCTGGAGGAGAGCAGTGTCTCCCAGTTTCCCAGGAGCCCGAGCCTGCCCAGTGTCCCAGCTCTCCTAATGAGCTCCCAGACCGTGGGAGACAAAGACACCGTCTTGCCCGCAGCTCCTCAGGGCAGCCAAAGGAAGAGTCAGTTGGCTGTTAATTGTGCACTCCAAATTCTTGGAGAGAGAGCTTCTTCCATAAACACAGAAGCTTATTCTTCATATTATGGCTAAGGTAAGGGCACGAGGCTGTGTAATTTTTCACAATTGGATAGGAGGAATGTTGAATTAAATGCTCTGCTTCATTTCCGTTCTATTGTGAAAATTATTTGTTGGCTACCACTTGTTTCCTTTCTTGATCCTCCATTTGTTTAATTGACTCTGAACACTAGGCAATGATTGAAATGATTTGCTTCAGAACAGATGGTTTTGTACTGTTGTATAGAGAGTGCTCTCTGAAAGCTCCTGCTTTATGAAATGGGCCTGTGATTCCTGGCAGCAGTTATTTTAACAATTAAGACTCATTTCCCAATATTTGTTGACATTTAAAAGTGCAATTATATCTTTGGATCAATTGGCTGAAAGCAGTGGTTCCCTGGCTGTGGTGTGTTATTTACTCAGTCGTGTCTGACTCTTTGCGACCCCATGGACTGTAGCCCGCCAGGCTCCTCTGTCCGTGGAATTCTCCAGGCAAGTATGCTGGAGAGGATAGCCTATCCGTTCTCCAGGGGATTTTCCCGACCCAGGGATCGAAGCTGGGTCTCCTGCATTGCAGGAGGATTCTTTACCCTCTGAGCCATCAGGGAATTCCTGACAGCTGCACCGAGTCAGCACATCAAGAATGGAGGTTGATTATACAACCCAGGGGCTAGCTGTCAGAAGAACTGGTGAAGATGCTTACTTTGCTTGTAACTTTGGCAGCGTTCTCAAGGGAGGACTCAGTGTTCAAGATTAAGATGCTTGTTCTGGGATTACCATCCTCAGAAGAAAGCTCTAAATTCTAGTGTGAGCACGGCAGGATAAGGGTGAGCCAGCCAATTGGATGATGTCACACCTAGCTTGTGGCCTTGGAAGTGCCACCCCAAAGTAGATGAGGGAGTAGGGGGAGAAACAATGAGAAAGGAGAACGGGGAGAGAATATGAAAGGGAAGAGGAAGAGAATGGAGGGGCTCAGGGTGGTGAAGTTCAATGTCAAGCCTGCCCAGCACTAGCAAAGACCTCTGGCTAGGGCAAATGGTCTCTCCGAGGTCTCTCTGCTTTTACTTACCAGCTAAGTAGACCAGGACACAAGGCACCTCAAGTCCCCAAGAGCCTTCTTAGTTCTCAGGAAAGTTCCATTTTGGCTAGTGTGGCCCTGGGGGGATGAGCAATGAAGACCCTTTGGCTTCATTGCTGCGCTCCTTTGTGGAACTAGAGAGTGACCAGAAGTTCAAAGATCTTTATGTCCTTTGTGTGTGCATTGGTGTTATAGTGGTGAGCATAACCGCCTCCCAAAGATCTTATCATCATTTTCTGTTATGGACAGTTATGCAAGTATATGTAATACTCAGATTGAGGGCAGTTATACTTGAGGTGGTATCAAGGGGCTCCCTTGAAAGGTAAGTGTCACATTCTGTCTCCTTGAATCAACACTTCCCTCAACCAGTCCAAGGATCTTCTGGCTGCAGAAGATTTTGGTTCAGACTCCAGAGCTGATGTTTTTCAGTCTTGGGGGCTAGACTAAGACTAGTTTAAGAATTCCTTAAACTTCTTGAGCCTCATTTTCCCTGCTTGAAAATGGAAAATG